CTTGGAGATGGTCCTTGAGGAAGGGCCTCCATCTGTCTCTAAAATTGTGTTTAAGTGCTTATTCCCTCCATTTTAAAAAGTTGCATCTACAGAGAAATTGTTGTGAGTCCCAGCAGGGGTGTACACAACAGTAGAAACCAAAGCCAAACTGAGGGGCGTTCGGTTTGTTTCATTTGGGGTTTTTTTGATACCAGGATGGTATCAGTGTAACACTGAGCTGAGTATTGTTATGTGTGGAGATACATTTGCCTGAGGTATGAGATGGTTCAAGAGCTTCTCCAGTGGCAGATGCTGTATGGGTGCTGCCTTCAGGGAAAAGAGGGAGGAAGGCATTCAAGCTGCCCCAAATGAAAAGTAGAGGGAAACTCCCAGATGACTTGTTCCAGAGCACGTCCAGGGTCTGTCCCATGTGGAGCACGCTCCGTATCACTGTAAGATCAGTGCCAGTGAATGTTTCTTCCTACATCATTAGCATAGCATGTCCTTTTTATTTTCTTTATTGGCTAACCTGGGCTAAGTCTTAGGCAAGTTTCTCTAGTAAGTAAAAGTTATCCTTTGCGTAGATATCCTGACAGCAATTTGACCATGTTGTTCAGACATTATATTGCCTAAGGTAGTGGAGGAAAGCAGAGAACAGAGATATCCCTGGTGCAGTGATTCTTAAGGCATTTTAGCCAGAGAGAGCGAGCGCGTAGGTAGGAAAAAAGAATGGTATTTTGATTATAGGCTGCAGGCAAGTCCAACTTATCCGTAACAGACGGTGTGAACAGGCTCCTGCCTGTAATTATGGCAATGAGCAGGTGCAGGAAGAGTCTTAGGAGAATGATTTCGAGGCTGGAAGGAGGACAGAGAATGTAGAGATCAAGTATGGGTGGCATCATAAACAGGTCTCCACTGGTAGGAGTCACATCTGCTGAACTTGCGTCCGCTGTCAACAGTTGTCTAGCAGAGCGCTCTTTGCAGTGCATGGTTGTCCTGGAATCACTTGAACCAAAAGGAATTGGGTTCTCCTTGTGCAGACTGTCAAGCTGGTAGCATACTGTTGTAAATTGTCAATGCCATTATCAAGTCAGTCTTACAGACAAGATGAGCAGGACTTGTGACACACTATTGCACATTCACATAGTATAGAAATGGCTATTTGTGCACACTTTTAGGGGTTGGGGGAGGACTGTGTTTAATTTGGATGCCTTTTTGAGGGATCGTCTTTTGACACCCTTCAGCTGCCTTTTGTCAAAGGCTTGGAAGAGTGTTCTAGGGAAGCACTGCTGTATGCTTCCTCTGTTCTTAAATTTTCTGTTCACTGTAAGAGGCAAGATGGACATCTCATCTGACCTGATATGGCTTTCTTATACAAATTGTGCTTATGTAAGTAATCTGTCTTCTGTGTAATATGAAATGAAGTCGTCTTATATGCTGCCTCTCTTGGAATACAGCTTTATTAATTTACACATGCTATATGCACTAGTTCAGCATTGCAACATCACATAACCTGATCACTGAGCACAGCACTAGTGTGTGATTACTTTGTGATTAAAGATTTACCAAATCAAATATGAGTTATACAAGGTTGTTGCAGTATCAGAACTGCTATTCTGAACAGATAAGAACTCATATAAAATACTTTTGACATATTTGTATTTATAAAACATCACAGGACACATTTCCTATTTGAAGAATAAGTTTTTAAATCTTTCTCAAATGTAGTAATATACTCCTTTCTCTTTCCCATCATCAGTGTTTAGATCTCCCAGCAATCAACAATCCTTACTTCTCTCACTTCATTGAGAGGTACTTTGATTGTTCCTTATTAGACATTGGAGAATGGACTATTTTAAAATAATGCAAATATATATGTTTATTAAAATGAAGAGCGTTAAGGGTTTGAGAGAGGTTTTGTATTTCACAAAGTTACTTCTCTTTTTTGGGAGTGGTGTTCACCATTGATACCTTTAATTCTTTCCAACTATCTGTAACTGTGGTGATAGGAGAGCATTGTGAAAGACCAGGATATATAGAATGGAACAGTAATCATGGCTACTTGGCTTTTAAAAGCATGAATCTTGATCAGTTTCAGCAATTAGTATTTTTGTCTTAAAGATAAGATAGAGATATTACATACAGCTTGATATACTTGGTCAGAAACTGGTTAGAATTAATGTTCTGTAAAGTATGTAAAGCAGCATAAGAACCATTGGTAACTGTTTACATGCTATTAATAATTAGCAACCTTCATACTAGTCTGTTAGGAAAGAACCACGCATTGGGTACAATAGAAACTCAACTCCATACGGTTGGGTTCAAATTACATTTGACTTGGACAATAGGGCATGAATGGGGCTCATTTGAGTTTCTGCCACTGTAAACAATGAGATGGTGGAATGTTTTATTTGTTGATTGATTTATTAATTTGGACAGCTGCAGGTTGATCATATGAAATAATTTTTTATTCAAATATAGGCAGAAAATAGCTTAACAAACATTGTCCAGTCAGAGTGCATGATGATAACCAACATCTTGAATGGACAGACTCAAATTAATTTAGCCTGTGGCTGGCTTTGAATTTGGGTCTTAAACTAATCAAATCATGTTCTAGAGAAAGTGCTTTATGTGCTGTCCAGCCACATATGAAATAGAAAACATAGATTTTATTTTCTGATTAATTTCTTTTTAGGTACTAAGTTCCTTCTTTTACTTTCTGTTAAAAATTATGTGCATTCTGTGAGGTAGATTCTCTTAATGCCTATGGGGCTTATCCTTGAGAAGAGGTCATTCAAATCTGATGGATCCCATCTGGATGAGGATCATTCTCTAGGGTGTCATTTTCTTCAGCTATTTGAAACCCTTTTCCAAGTGCTCCAAAGCAATCAGGTTCTATAATTTGCAACACGATGGCATGAGGAAAGAGCCAGGAAATTGTTGCTGGGATCATACGTTATGAAGTAGTATCACAGGACTCATAGCCTAAATTAGTGCAAAGAGAGCCTTGATTCAGGCTTTTTTGTCTTCTCCATCAGCTGGACATCTGCATTTCTCCCAAGTGGACACTACAAAGGGAGAATGGATGATGGTAGCACATCTTACCATTTGGGGTAGGGAAAGATTGAAACTGGAGTATCAGTATGAAAGTACATGCAGAAGACATCATCCTTGGTCCACAGTTTCCCAGCTCACGTCACGTAGAAAATGGCACAGCAATCTTCAAACGAGAGAAAATCCCACAAATACGTGTCTTATAGGTATAAATAAACCTACAGAAGGATTGAGTGGACCTTACACATTTAATACCTTAAACTATCTTAACCATAGAACATAGCCTATGCTATTAAGTTCAAGTGTTGCAACTATGTGTTGTGTCACAGTCCTTTCAAAGTTGTTCCTCTATCTCTCACCAGGTGGAACGGATTGGATGTACACCCAGCTTGATAAACAACTGCTTTAATATTTCAGTTCACACTGAGAATTTGCTGTCTTTATTTCTCTTTCAACATTATATTGCATTTAAACAATGACAGGGCTTCTCTTCTAATGCACGTATTTGATTCCTGTCAATGCTAACAGAAGGTATGTGCAGACACCAATGGAAGAGTAGACTAGAGTTTCTCTTGAGGTGAACAACTGTTCATAATTAGAGTTGTGGGAATGAAGGAAAACCCAGCTAGCAAGCAAACAGTCACTCTTCCAAAAAGCTTGGTAAACTCATAAAGCTCGGGAGCTTAATCTCTGAACCAGAGTGCTTGTTACCTAATCCCCACCAGCTGTTGTGTACTTGGTAGCCATGACATCTGTAATAGAGCTGAAGGGCCTGTCTATATTGGTTGGCACCTTTACCCACCAACTGAACTTGATTCTTCTTTCATTGCTCTCATTTACCTGCTTTAAATCATTAACCAGTTGCTTGGGGTTTGATCATCCATTTAACCATACTTCATAATAGAGAGCTTGTGCTGCTTTTCACATTAAGCATATTTTAGGTGTGTAGATTTTCAGCAGGTCTGTTTTTTGCCTTGCTAATAAGAGAAAGGAATCAACCAAAAGAATTTCCTCTGGTTGCATACTGATTCCTTATATAGACTTAAAACTGACCTAGGAGTGAAATCTCTTGAGATGTATTTCAGCTGAAAAATACCATCATGCTTCTAATGTGTTAGGTTAATGGTTGGACTTGATGATCTTAAAGGTCTTTTCCAACCTAAACGATTCTATGATTCTATGATTCTAAGCAGGGTAAAGAATTATATACATGTCTCTGTTAACTGGTGTGTATGAATTGATATAGGTGATTATAGAAGACAGAATATAAACGTAAGCAAGTGTGTGCGTGTTCATTATAACTGTGAAAGAATACTTGTTTTCAGGGATTAGTTACAGCTGTGCTGTAGTGGGTGTCATTCTTTTAAGATGGCAGAGGACAGAAATTGTCCCAACTTGATAAAAGAATCCAGTTTAAGTCTCCCAGTTCTTGGGTGAGTGCTGTGACTTCAAGCCTACTGTTTGGCAGTATCGCCACCACCACAAGCAGTGCAGAGTAACAGCTGTTTGGGCCTTGTAAGGGGTTAGAGGGAAGGATGTCTTGTTCCTGGATCCCAAATGAGTTTAGTTAGGAGGTAAGCACTGAGCTGTCCTCCTAAGAAAGACCATTTCTGGACATTGGTTATTTTACTGGTTAAAACTTAGCTGCTTATAGCTTCCTAGTACCTGAATTACTAGATTGGGCATCTGAAGTTGATATTGTGGCCAAAATTGGGCCTGAAGACTACCGCAGTCTTAAGTAAGCTGTCAGCATAATATTGTGGATCTAAGTTTTTGAACTGTCCTAAGACAATTCTCAGCATCTATAATACTTACTGTCAAAATCCAGAATAATGGTCTCATAAATAACACCAGCTATACCAAGTTTTCAAGGAAATGCCTGTTAAAATTCTGTTAAATTTCATTATAGTCAGTTTTCACTTGGAATTAATGTTACTGATGGATTTTTTCTTCTTTCCCCCCCTCAGAATGGCACTAAGAAGTTCTGGGATTTTATGAGGACACATGACAGGTAATAGATGGAATCACGTTATTTCCTTTTGTCTTTATGTTGTTTTTCATACTGTATTCTCTTCCATTGATCAAATCCTGTTGATGTGGAGTCACATCTTTCTACTCCAACTTCCTCTTCAATTCTCACTTATTGTGTAATAATTGCAGATAGTTCTCTACTATTCTAGATAGAATTAGCAGAAATTTTAAAAGCTCCTCATGTTTTATTATGTTTTCAGTAAGTTTAGTCTGTGCTTGACTTTTCAAATATTAGAGTTTTGGCACATGATTTATTGTACAGTTTAATGATTACATAAAAGATGGAACTGAAAGTTTGGACTGTATGAAATTTTCTTTTTTGAGTGTGAATGTATCACCTGAAGGAAGGACTCTGCCCCCCACATACTTAACCCTGTTGTTATTTGTGCCGTTAAGTTGTCTAGTCCTAAGTATGTGACCATACTCTCTCACCTGTGAATATACAATCCCACGAATTGTCCTAATATAAAGAGTGTTAAAAAGCAATCTAAAGTTATGGTCATACTATTTGATTTTTTTCACTGGCAGTTACACGGAATAAGGTAGAGATTCTGGTTTATGTTTGAGTAAATCCTAGTATTATGCTAACTTTTTTATTTTAATCCTCTCCATCACTGCTGTATAAGGACTTTTTAGGCAAAGCCTAATTCAAGTAACTTTACAAATGCCTGAAACCTTTCAGGCCCTCCATTCTCTACACCAAAACCCTCTCCTGAGCACATGGGAAGAAATGGATGGCCAGCAACTTAGTTCTGTCTTTCCAATTGTATTTCTTCTATCAAGGAAGAAAAGTAGTTACCTCCTGACTTCAAAGATCCGTTCATGCAAAATTATAACAAATAGGGTATATATGAAACAGACCCAGTCTCAGAGTTATTAAATACTAAAATATTGATATGTCTTTTTTTAAAGTATAAATATTTAATCTATTCACTGAAAATTCAGGTACTAGAAGGTAAAAATAAAAAGCAACGGTAATAACGTTTCCCTAGGAAAAGCTTTTCTAAATCTATTAAATGTAAAAAAATGAGGCAAAGCACTAATGTAAAAAGAAATTGTGACTTATAACCAGAACCGTGTTGAGAGATGTATTCTTCTTGTGTGTGAAATAAGTAGGTAAAATCAATTTCATTTTTGGAAATTCTTCTCTGTTGGAACCCTCTAAATACTTACAGTGAGTCTTTTTTGTGTGTAGGTACCTGGGATGGACATAAAGCAATAGCAAGACTTTTTATCAATATAAAGATTATGAATGTAAAAGTTCCAGGAAGACTGGGAAAAAATTAGATAGATTAAAAATGCCTGTACTGCTTGAGAATGAGGACAGAAAAGGGAGTGATGTTTTGATACTGAACTTCACACTTGCTTTTGGAATTTTTCTGGAAGACAGTTCTGTCTTTGCACTTTGTCTATCCATATGGGCATATGCCTGGATTTGTGATCACAGATACAAAGGCTGAAATGATAATTGATTGCTGGAAATGTAATATATGCCCTGTACTTTCAAGCAAGTGAATCCAGCCTCAAGTCACAGTGCTGAGAACGACTTCCAGATTAATAATTTGTATTATTATTTTTGTTTAAACTTTAGATTGTTGCTCTGCGATAATGTGTGAATATATGCAACTAACTGAGTGGGGTAAATATTAAAGGATCAGTTTTCCATGAACTTCTTGAGTACAGGAATTCTGAAGGACTTTTGTGGACATTTCTAAAATAGTTGGGAACATAACTGTATAAAAAGGCTACAGCCACATGTCATGCCAGTCATCTCTGGTCACATAACATTTGTTAGCTTCAGATGTACAACAGCTGCCATCCTAACTTATTAGTGACTACTGTTGAGCTGTAGAATGTCTAACACTCTATCACAAGTAAATTCAATGCAACTTCTGACACCAAAGGTAATAATGTGAACTTTCTGTATATGAAATCCATAGTTTTACATAAATTCTATTTGTGAATATGAAGCCAATTATTATCAGATAGATCAGTCAGGTTCAAAATTCCTTATAATGCATTAAAGCCCTACATTTTACTGTATTTTAATAGGACAGCAGTGATGCTAGTTGTATGGAAAAGTCACCTTGTCTAGTTGCTGAAGAGTATAGATGACTTCATACTTAGAGGGCTCTTAGAGGTTCATTACTCTTAATGAGGGATAAAACCTTGAGAAGAGGAGGGGTTTCCAGAATACTTGTCCTGTTGGTCAGTATTTCCTAGTGCGTATGTCTTCTTCAGGAAGATTGTAGGTGTTTTCCATAATTAAGATCACTTTTCTATAATTAAGACCCCTTTTTCAAAAGTACTCAAAACTTATCTTACTTCTGAAAATGCTGTAACAATGTAAATACTCCATATTTTTTTCAAAAGGGCTGTTTACCCAAATTGAACATATACATTGGAATGCCAGATCTGTAAAGTACACATACATGTATTATATATTTACATATAATTGGTATGTATAATGAATCTAATGATACTGAATACACAAAAAAATACTGTGCTAATTATATAAAAACAGTCATTGAACCTAACTCATGTCTTTACCTGTCGTCCTCTTTCATCAGCATAAGTAAGCATTTGCTTAAGACTGACTTCCTTGCTGTATGACAGTTACCTGAGAGCTTGTGTGCTGGGTTCCTTTGGGGCCCCAGTGTTCTTTCTCGTTTCAAATGAGGTCAACATAAGCCAATATTCAGCAGATATTCAGAATATAGACTTAATACAGGAAAAGACTTAGCAAGAGAGATTAAATTATTTTTTTATAAATTTATCCTTTCCAACTGTTCAGATGAACAGCTGATTAAATTATACAAAGACAAAAACATGAGGACTGCAGTAGTCATTTCATTTGCCTTAAGTGTGAGTCACCTCCTTTTAAAATCTCACAATATATTGCAGTAGGACAAGATCATTCAACCATACACAAGCTGGGGTGACACTAGCACAAGCTGAAATAGCAGATTTTTTAGTAGATATTCCTTTTTTTTTCCTCTTTCTTTAATTCTTAGTTATTGCAGATCTGGGCTTGAGTCTACAGTGTGTGACTCCTGAGCTTTCTTAAGATCAAGACTGTTCAGAACTAGGGTATCAGTCCTGGAGTCACCTCTGGCTTTATTCAGTTTGTAATTTCTGCTGAACGTATAATTTCTTGCTCTCAATACCTCTATGCCAATTAAAGAAAAAAAAAATGCTTTTTGCAAAATTATTACTGGCCACACAATAAACTGTTACCAAGACAAACCTTCAAAACCTGCATTGTCAATAGTCAATTGAGTGTCAGTATAGACAAAAGCAGCAGCATTTCCTATCATATTTAGGTTTAAGTTGTAACAGAAGGAAGACCCAGGACACAATGACATACCCACAGAGAGTAGTTAAGTGCTGGAACACTTTGCTCAGACAGGTTGAGGAACCTCCATCCTTGGAGAAATTCAAGCCTTGACTGGACAAGAAATCAGACCTAACTTAGAAGTTAGTCTTATTTTGAGCAGGAGGTTGGATCAGATGATCTCCAAAAGTTTTTTACAACCTGAAGGTTTCTATGATTTTATAAGTAGATTAAATACTTAATGAATGTTACAGTTCCCATCTGACAACTGTCAAACGTTTGTAAACTTGTCAATAACTCTGTCAAATTATAAGCCATTTTTCTATTGAAAAATAATTGTGTTTACTATCATTCTTGTCCTGTGGATTTACATTTAAGTTAATCATAGAATCACAGAATCATTTAGGTTGGAAAAGACCTTTAAGATCATCAAGTCCAACCATGAACCTAACACTACCAAGTCCACCACTAAACCAATTAAGGGTAGAGTAAAAATTAATTTCATATTTCCTGGCTTGGTGGCTGGATTATTTCTAAATGAAAGTAAAACTACAATAGAATCATTAAGGTTGGAAAGGTTCTCTAAGGTCATCAGCCCAACCATCAACCCAACACCACCATGCCCACTAAACCGTGTCCCAAAGTGCCATGTCTACACGTTTTTTGAACACCTCCAGGGATGGTGACTCCACCACCTCTCTGGGCAGCCTGTTCCAATGCTTGACTGCTCTTTCAGTAAAGAACTTTCTCCTAATATCCAATCTAAACCTCCCCTGACACAGCTTGAGCCCATTTCCTCTCATCCTGTCACTTGTTACTTGGGAGACGAGACCAACATCCACCTCACTACAGCCTCCTTCCAGGTAGTTGTAGAGAGCGATAAGGTCTCCCCTCAGCCTCCTCTTCTCCAGACTAAACAATCTCAGTTCCCTCAGCCACTCCTTGTAAGACTTGTTCTCTAGACCCTTCACCAGCTTTGTTGCCCTTCTCTGGACACGCTCCAGCACCTCAATGTCCTTCTTGTACTGAGGGGCCCAAAACTGAATGTAGTATTTGAGGTGTGGCCTCACCAGTGCCGAGTACAGGGAGACAATCACCTCCCTGCTGCTGCTGGCTACATTATTCCTGATGCAAGCCAGGATGCTGTTGGCCTTCTTGGCCACCTAGGCACACTGCTGGCTCATGTTCGGCTGGCTGTCGACCAACACCCCCCCCCAGTTCTTTTCCCGCGGGGCACTTTCCCATCCCCTCTTCCCCAAGCCTGTAGCGTTGCATGGGGTTGTTGTGACCGAAGTGCAGGACCAGCACTTGGCCTTGTTGAATCTCATACAGTTGGCTTCGACCTATCGGTCCAGCGTGTCCAGATCCCTCTGTAGACCCTTCCTTACCCTTGAGCAGGTGGACACTCCCACCTAATTTGGTGTCATCTGCAAACTCACTGAGGGTGCACTCAATCCCCTCATCCAGATCATTGATAAAGATATTAAACAAGACTGGCCCCAAAACTGAGCCCTGGGGA